TACGTGCTTGATTTAAAAAGACATTTGGTGCTGTATTTATGCCCCTGAGGTGCCTTGGTGTGTCCCCACAGGCCATTGAGATGGAGCTGAGGCAGATGGAAGTGCAGCAGGCCAATCGCCACGTGTCCCTCCTCACCTCCTTCATGCCCGACAGTTTCCTGCGCCACGGCGGCGACCACGACTGCGTGCTGGTGCTCCTGCTCATCCCACGCCTCATCTGCAAGGTGGGATGGGAAATCATCCCAAAAATTCACCGCGGAATTCATCCGGGTTCACCTCAAAATGATCCCCCCCCAAAACGGGACAAAATTCACCTCAAAATTATCCCGAAAAAACGTTAAAATTCACCTGAAAATTATCCCCAAAAAACATTAAAATTCACCTCAAAATTATCTCAAAATTGTCCCCAAAACCATCAAAATTCGCCTCAAAATTCACCCAAATTCACCTCAAAATTCACCCAAATATACCTCAAAATTATAATATTTTTTCCCCCAAAACGGCCAAAATTCAACCAAAATTCACCTCAAAATTCACCCAAATTCACCTCAAAATTATAATAAATTTTTCCCCCAAAACGGCCAAAATTCACCCAAAATTCAACTCAAAATGATCCCCCAAAACGGCCAAAATTCACCTCAAAATGATCCCCAAAAAACATTAAAATTCAGCTCAAAATTCACCCAAATTCACCTCAAAATTCACCCAATTTCACCTCAAAATGATCCCCCAAAACGGCCAAAATTCACCTCAAAATTATCCCCAAAAACCATCAAAATTCAACTCAAAATTCATCCAAATTCACCTCAAAATTATCCCCAAAAATGGCCAAAATTAACCTCAAAATTATCCCCCAAAGCGGCCAAAATTCACCTCAAAATTATCTCAAAATTGTCCCCAAAAACCATCAAAATTCACCTCAAAATTCACCTCAAAATTATCCCGAAATTATCCCCATAAATGGCATACATATACATACACATATACATATACATGTAAATATAAAAATACATGCATTTAGATGAAGATACAGGTGAAATTGAGTGAATTTTGAGGTGCATTTTGGCCATATTTGGGGATAATTTGGGGATAATATTATTGTATATTATTATATAATATCTATATTATTTATATATTTATTATATATGCATTCTATAGAATATATTTTTATATAGAATGTATAATATAAATATATTCTATATAAAATATAGACTATATATATAATATAATATAATATAATATAAATAAATAATGAATTCCATTTTTCCACAATTATAAAATGATCTGGGAGAAGGGAAGGGGAAGAAGCATCCAGGGGTGGTGACAGCAGTGAGAGCGCTCAGCCGTGCTGCCAGTGTCACTTTTTGGGGGTGCAGGGATTGTCACCCACGGCTCAGAGGGATGCCCCGAAGGATTTCACGTTTTGGGGGTGCAGGGATTGTCACCCGTGGCTCGGAGGAATGTCCTGAAGGATTTCACTTTTTGGGGTGCACGGCTCAGAGGGATGCCCTGAAGGATTTCACTTTTTGGGGGAGCAGGGTTCAGAGGGATGCCCCGAAGGATTTCACGTTTTGGGGTGCAGGGATTGTCACCCGTGGCTCAGAGGGATGCCCTGAAGGCTTTCCCTGTCCCCCCAGGCCGAGCTGATCAGCAAACAGGCGCAGGAGAGGTTCGAGCTGAGCGAGAGCTGCGCGGAGCGGGCGGGGCTGCGAGGAGCGCCGGGGGAACAGCTCAGCTTCGCCGCCGGCCTCGTCTATTCCCTGAGCCTGCTCCAGGCCACGCTCCACAAATACGAGCAGTGAGTGCCCGCCCCAACCCCTTCCTTCCCTCCCTCCCTCCCTCCCTTTGCGGGCGGAGTTCCAGGATTTTGGGGAGCCGGATTGGGAAAGGGCGGTGGGATTGCTTTTATTGCCTTGTCGTGAGGTCATTTCTCTGTGACCCTCCTTGTGTGTCTTTCCCAAGGGAAGGGATTTTGGGCTAGAAATAAAAAAGTTGTGGGGTCCCTTTTCCATGACCTGTCTGTGTCCCCCAAGAGATCACAGGGGATCTTGGGAGCCAGGCTAGCAAAA